TGGCGTTAGGTTCTGTATGCATGAGTTTCCCTGTTTTGTGCCATCGATTATATCCTATTCATACAAATATTAAATAATAAATTAAATTAAATAATATAATTTTGTAGGCTTACCTTTTTTGGCTTTAGTAAAGGCAGTGGTTTTGCAAACCGTAGGCTTCCCACTGGAGGCTCAGCGTATGGTATGTTTAAAAACTGGTCAATACTTTTATTTTGTGCGACGAGTGTCTGACCCCTCACTACACCCGATGTTGTATTTACGTCAACACCATTTACTATACAATTAAATAATATAAATACTACAGAAATAGAAATTAAATTGTTTGTTAAAAACATGTTTGTAATATAAGTTTAGTAAACTACTGTACAAGTCATAAACAAAATGATTTGGTATTTATTAACAGTAAAACATTTATTAATGTTGACACATTTATACTATATTCAATAGTATTATCTATTAACATTTAATCGTCGACGTGAATAAAATGATCATTTTCCTAATATTTGATAATTTATTGTATAAAGTATTTTATATATAATTGTATAAGAGATTAGTCAATAATGTATTGTTTCATAATAATGCTCTTTAAGTGCTTTTAAAGATAAAAGTATAAATAGTTTACAATCAATTATATTTGCAAGTTACAAATAGTATAATTCGTGCAAGATTATACAGTAGTTTTAATTTTCTATAGTAGTATATCCTGAATATTTTATAATATAAATCTGAAATAATTAATTTCAATCAATTTTATATAGATATATCTAGTTTAATAGATTTCCTACCAGAACCAATATTATATGAATTAAATAAATAAATTGTACTGTATTTGTACATTTACAATAACATTATCAATATTAGCAAATAAATGCACTTAAAAGAGCAAAACTATTCATATCATAATTAAACATTTACTATATTCTTAAAGTCCTGAAAAGTTATATACAGTATTATGAGTAACTGAGTTGGTCAAAAAAAGTGAGTGAGTGAGTGAGAGAGAGAGAGAGAGAGAGAGAGAGAGCAATCATTGTTATTTCTAATATTAAATTAAGAAATATATTTGTTAATAAAATCAATTAATGTTTATTGTAATGTTTGTAATATTATGTTTAGATCAACAGTAAAGAAATAATTTGTTAATACTAAATATTTATTGCTATTCTCAGAATAATTTTTATTCTTAATTTTTATATTATATTTAATTATCAACAATATTTCCCTATTTAGCAACATTACAAATTGCAACAAATGTTTCCTTGGATTTTTAATAATAAATTTATTTGATGTTGATAACTACAAAAAAATATTGAAATAAATATGAAAATAAGGTTATTAATTATTTATTATATCCATTTATTATTACTTATGAACAATGTTTTTATTTTCAATTTTTATATTAATATTTTGAGTTAAAATTTAATTGTTTATATTAAATATGAATATTTTCCTCAAGATATTCCTCGTTTGTAAAACATAATAGTTATCAGTGATTGCTATAACTTACCAGTGATAACTTATACAGTGTACAGTAAGTTATACTGGTAATAATTTATTTCACTGTTATAAGGTGTCAGGTAAGTTTTCACTTGTACTGTATAAGTTAGAATCAGGTTCTTGTATCCCTGACCCTGAAATTCCCATTCATTAATATAATTACAATTTATATTAAATGACATTGAGAGTATAGGGATAATTTACAATAATAAATATTTTATTATAAAATTACTACATTTTACAGGATAATAAATCATTAAATAGCATCAAGTCAATAGTAAACTGTTGTCATGTATAAAGTGAGATAAATTCCGATATATTCAAATAAACTATGAATTGGTTAAAGTTAAGCTAAAAATCAGCTAATCATTAAGTATTTATATATATTAATCACATAACGTTACATCTAAAAATAATATTAAATTAATGACTATGATGAAAACATTTTACCTGTAAAACTACTTTTAGATAATTCGATGATTATCATTGATTAATATTTTAGTGCATTAGTGTACAGTTAGACTTAGATAACAACTTGTCAGATAAGTCTAACTGTGCATGTCCATGGTTTGTTAGTGCATGTTCAATGCGAAAGTACAGTACATTTAGTGAAAAAAAATTAAATATATTTGAAAAGTGTTTTGTGAGAAGTACTGTTATTTTATGAGAAGTTGTTTTTGACATTTAAAGTTAAATAATAGTTGTTAAAATGATTTTAGCTAATAAATTGTGTTTTGTATTAATGGTGTGTTTAATTGAAAGGTGTGTTTGCGATGAGAGTAATAGTGTTGTCGTAAATACGAGTTCGGGTGGAGTGAGGGGACAGACACTGAATGTTGTGAATCACAAAATCAATCAATTCTTGAATATACCTTATGCTGAGCCCCCGGTGGGCCCACTCAGGTTCAGTCCACNAGGGGACAGACACTGAATGTTGTGAATCACAAAATCAATCAATTCTTGAATATACCTTATGCTGAGCCCCCGGTGGGCCCACTCAGGTTCAGTCCACCGCAACCACTACAGACACCTAAAAAGGTATTTAAAAATTTATTTTCATAAAATATAAATTATTTGTAACGTCAATAAACAGGATATAATTGATGGCACAGTCGAAGGTAACTCATGCATACAAATACAAAGTCCATTGTTTATACAAATGATGGGTAAACTGACCACAAGTGAAGATTGTTTGGTACTAAACATATGGACACCAAATGTGGACAAAAGTGCATCAAAATCACAGCTAAAACCTGTTATGTATTGGATATACGGCGGGGCACTTACTATTGGATCAGTATTTCAAAAGATGTATAACGGAAGTGTTTTGGCCACCAATGATGTGGTCATTGTTTCCGTTAACTATAGGGTCGGACAGTTAGGCTTTTTATATGGTGGCGATCAGACAGCACCCGGTAATCTTGGGTTTTATGACCAACTTTTAGGATTGAAATGGGTATTTATTATATTTTAGTTATTAATTACTCTAAGAATGTTTACAAAAAAACTATAACTTATAGAATATAATTGTTAATTACTTTATGTTATTAATAGGTTCGAGAAAATATTCATCGATTCGGTGGAGACAAGGATCAGATCACTATATTTGGTGAGAGCGCCGGTGGTTGGTCCGTATCGGCACATCTACTCTCACCCCTATCTAAGGGTCTATTTAAGAGGGCTATTGTCCAAAGCGGTACTCAAATGTTTCATAAGGATAGACCTGTTTTGGGAACTGTAGAGGCGTTGAGTAAAGCCAAAGAAACGGCCCGTAAATTGGGTTGTGATCCGTATGACCACAAATGGTTGGACTGTTTGCGAACAATTAAGGACCCGGACCTATTTTTTGAGCCCACAGAGGCTGAAGTTTCTTTTGGTGTCACGTGGCCTGTGTTTGGCACTGAATTCCTACCCGTTTTACCACAAAAGGCTTTTGAAACTAATAAATATAATTCTGGTGAATATAATATACAGTAGTTTAGAAATATAATAGTTTTAATTGATAAACAATTTATGTATCAGATGTGGATGTGATGGCCGGTGCGACCAAAGACGAGGGTCCTATGCTAGCAATGATGACGTTCCCACAATTGAGGGCTGATTTCAATATAAAGAAATTTCACGAATTAATAGAACTCCAGAGAGAGATCTACCATAACATAGACGTCCAGAAAGTGTCCGATTATTACCTCCAGAATAGAGACCCCGAAAATCCTAATGACTTACAGCAAGCTTTCGGGGAACTGTATGGCGATATGTTGATAGTGTGCCCCACCTATGGGTTTGCCAAGAGATTTGCCAAAAGTGGTCGAGACGTCTATTTTTATAGATTTAATTATCAGACAAATTTGTTTGCAATGTTTGGTTGTGATGAACACACCATATGTCACGCCGCAGAACTCCCCTATGTTTTTGGTGATCCCGTTAGGACTCCCCAAATGTTTACGGAAACGGATTATGATTTCAGTATAGATATCATGAAGATATGGACTAATTTTGCTAAAAATATGTGAGTTGTGCTGGGTTATATTTTATTAAAATGTTATTTACATAATTTATTAAATCCATAGAAAACCACACAATATTTATCCAAAACTTATAGACATTTCGGACGCGAATTCAGTGCCAAAAGTGAAAGACTTGAATCCCAACGATATGTCACTTGTTTTGGACAATCCTTACGGAGATATTTGTGATGGATTTTGGAGTGAATATCTCGGAGACAATAAATAAACATACGGTGACATAGAGTTAGTTAAAAACAATTTTTATTATACAATTATAAAAAACTTACAGAAAATATAAGAAAATTGTAGAAGTGAACATTAAATTGACTTGAAATGAATAAAACATATTATTTGTAGAAAACATTTATAATTTTATTACTCGAACTTCAAATAAATAATTTACTTCTTTTAAACGTGGTAATTTAGTTCAAAGTTTTAATTAAGTTTTATTAAATTAATATTAAAATGTATGTATTGTTTTAATATCACTAATTTTTACGTTTTAAAGCCACTATCTTTAAAACTACTTTGATAATAGGTTATTTCTTAATATTTAGTGCATTTTATTATGTAGTTATAGACAGAGATAAGTGTTCAATGATTTGTAGTGAAGTTTCAAGGATATTTTTTAAGTGCATTAAGTTTGAAAATATTAAATATAAAAGTCTTATACTTTATAAAGTTAGTGTCATTTATTGCTGCGATATTTGAATTGTTTTTTGATTGTAATTGAAATTCTTGTTTAAGAAATGATTTTTGCAAATAAATTGTGTTTTGTATTAATAGTGAGTGTAATAGTGGTTTGCATTGTTCGGTGTGTTTGCGATGAGAGTAATAGTGTTGTCGTGAATACGAGTTCGGGTGGAGTGAGGGGACAGACACTGAATGTTGTGAATCACTTCATCAATCAATTCTTGAATATACCTTATGCTGAGCCCCCGGTGGGCCCACGAAGGTTCAGTCCACCACAACCACTCAAAACACCTAAAAAAGTATTTTAAAAATTATTTTCATAAAATATAATATAATATATAAATTATGTTTTACGACAATAAACAGGATATCATTGATGGGACAGTCGAGGGTAACTCATGCATACAAATACAAAGTCCATTGTTTACACAAATGATGGGTAAACTGANCAAGTACTTCCGTAAGGATTGTCCAAAACAAGTGACATATCGTTGGGATTCAAGTCTTTCACTTTTGGCACTGAATTCGCGTCCGAAATGTCTATTAGTTTCGGCCAAACATTGTGTGCTTTTCTATA